AAAAAAAAAAGAATTGTCATAAACCAGGCTGCTGCAAACCAAAAACAGAGTCCCCTTGAAACGGAATATTTTCAAAATGAACATTTCTGCAGGGCTGGGAGGTGGAGCTCAGCTTCTGCAAGATGTGGTACCCCAGTAATGAGAAACCCAAGCTGCAGCCAAAATTATGCAAAATCTTATTTTTAATTTTTTCAAAGGTAACATCCACTTCAGTGTTTTTAAAGGTTAGAGAACAAGTCCATGTTTCACGCTTGATTTGTTCAGCATACAGTCACAAGAATTCCAGTGTAATTCCAGTTCTTCAGTAAAAAAAATATTTTTGATAGAGAAAATAATATACGAATACCTTTATTTGTAATAATAAATAAAAATCTGAATGTATCTTTTAAAAAAAATAGGAAACCTATTCTGCATGCTTGGAACTTGTATTTCTGTCTGACCTCTGAGCTGTCTGGGTTTGTCCCTGTCTGACCCTGGTGACTGTGCTGCCCATCTCTTAGAGTCCATTCTTTCCAACCGAGTTTTATATTTCATCTGTTTCGGTTGCATGTTTGTTTGTTTTTACACACTGTATGTTTATTTTAAAAATAAAACACAAGAAAGCCCGTGATTTGTCTGAGACAGGTGTCAGTGCTGACACACCACCACAGTGACTCCAGACCTGACTTGAGAATTGACAAGAGCAACGAGTCCAGCTGTGGTTCTGGGTCTCTTCTGTTTCCTCCTCTGTTCTTCTCTAACCACTCTCTGTTCCCTCCCCGTTTCACTGTCCGCTCTTCTTCCATCTCGCTGCTTCTCTGTCCTGCTCTTTTTATCTGACAGTGACAGACCCCTCGGCCTCTCTCTCTCTCAGGACGCCCTGCAGCAGCGCATGTCCCTGCAGGAGAGCTCTGTCCTGCAGCTCAAACAGGAGCTCCTGAGGGCCAGCATGGCCAGAGATGAACTGCACAGCCAGAATGTGAGTGATGGAGAGGATACTGTCACACATCAGCCCTGTTTGTGTGTGAGACCCCAGCCTCTGTGTGCAGTGCGGCAGTGTG